CGCCCCCGGCTCTGGGTGCCTCCAGCCCCTGCCTTTTCTCTTCTCTTTGAAGTGTGAGCCTCAGAGCCACTACAGGCAAACAGGATGCTCCACTCCCACGCGCACAGACTTCAGACAGACGTGGGGTCGAACCGCATCCTGCAGGCAGTGGGGGGGGGGTCCCACCTGCCGCGGACCCGGTGTGGGAGGGGCGCAGGCTGGGTGCCGGCAGGGGCCTCGGGAGCTGGCTTCCTCAGTCCCTCTCCGAGCACCCGGTCCACACTTGGAACTCGGTGGGCATCTCAGAGTTCCCGTGGGGGCCCTCAGGCCTGCAGGGCTGGGCCAGGCCGGTGGTCGGGGATGGTAACGTCTGCTCGGCACGTTCGTGGGAGGCCACGGGGTGATACCTCCTCCTCCCCCGTCTTACCCCTGGCTGCGATTTTAGTATTTTCTGAAGATTGTTATTTTAAATATATTTTTATTGATTTCAGAGAGGAAGGGAGAAGGAGAGAGAGAGAGAAACATCAACGATGAGAAAGAATCATTGATCGGCTGCCTCCCGCATGCCCCCTACTGGGGATCAAGCCCACAACCTGGGCATGTGCCCTTGACCAGAATCAAACCTGGGACCCTTCAGTTCCCAGACCAGCCCTCTATTTACTGAGCCAAACTGGCTAGGCATTATTGTTATTATTATTTGGGGGGGGCATTATTTTTAATGAATACATTTTCTAAACCTCAGCAGAGGGTCTAGGATGACAAGATTGCTACACAACAGGTTTCTGGGAGGCGTGGCCTTTCGGAGCCGCCGGAGACATGGACAGGCGGGAAGGATGCTCAGGGAAGGGCAGGCAGGAGTTTAAGAGTCAAAAGAAAACCCAAAATCCTAAATCTCTCTGGGTTGGCTTTGCCGATAGCACATGGTTTAGGTGGACCCCTGTGGTTGAAGTGGGGGGGTGTTGAAGGGGGGCATGAAGGTGCAAAGGCTGAAGGTTCCAGGTCTCCCATCCCCAGCAGACTCCATCAGACCTTTAATTTACAAAATAGCTCGTGTGCCTGGAGGGAAAGGGCAGATGTAAACGACATCAGGGTGTTAGCACCCGCCTGACAACCCCGCCTGGCAGCGAGCGCCGTTCCAGAGTTCCAGACCGCTGGCCCTTCCATCAGGCCTGTTGCTGAAGCCTCCCCTCGCGTAGGCTGTGCCCTGGCCCCTCTGCCCGGCTTGAATGAGCCCCCTGTTGCTTCCTGGCATAACGAGGGGTTTGTTTGAGTTCTGAGATGCCAGGCTTCTGTGCCTCTGACGATGTTGGCCTCCTCTGGCCTGCACCCCAGCACCGTCTCTACAGGAACAGTTCCTGTTCCTCCATCTCTAGTCCCTGTGTGTCATTTTTCCACATAAAGTGGAGCTTCTTAAAGGACCTCTCGCCACAAGGCTGTGTGAGTCAGTGCTGCGTGCACTAGACTTCCGTGGAAAACAGAGAGGGGCTTGTTCATGTGACCGCCCCCCGCCCCCCAAGCTGTTCTGTTCCGCTGAGGTTATTTCACGGCGACCAGAAACGTCCAGCACAGGACCGGCTTTAGCTGCCCGTGTGTGTCTCGCACGGATCTGCGTTCCCTGGCGCGTGAGCGGCGTTTAATAAATATTTGCTAGGGTGAGTCATGGCCTGGCCCGCCTCAGCCTTCAGCCGTCTTTTCCCTTTCCCCTTAGATCTTCAACCTCATGAAGTACGACAGCTACAGCCGCTTCTTGAAGTCTGACTTGTTTTTAAAGCACAAGCGAACCGAGGAAGAGGAGGAGGAGCCGCCCGACACGCAGACGGCAGCGAAAAGAGCGTCGAGAACTTATAACACATGAGCCCCCCCCTCCCCGCACCCCCCGCCCAGCGGTCGGCACTGGCAGCCCCCCGGCGCCAAGGAACTCACTCGGGACCATGCAGGGTTAAGAATCGCTTTGTTATCTGCAAGGACTGAAATGTACAAAACCCGTCCATGGGATACGTGTATTTTATTAGCTGCCTGACCAGTCAGTCTTGCATGATGGCTAATCTTATGTAGAGAACACACCTGTTGCTTTGAAGTTTAAGTTCACAGACACACACGGGTGGAAGGAGCCCTTAAACACTGGACGCTGAGCATTTTACAGTTTGATTAAACGTCACGCGAGGCCGCCAGGTGACACGTACAGCCACCTCTTAACCTTTCAAGTCTTTGCCCTGCCTCTGTGGGAGGGGCCCTTCCTGTCCACAGGTTCGCGGGAGTGGACCTCACAAACTCAGGCCATGGGGGCGGGGGGGGGGGTGCTGTCTGTCGGGCGCCTTTTGGGTTAAATACTTCTCGCAGGTGAGCTCAGTCCCTGCAGGTTGGGGGAGCTGTGGGTGAGCGTCACCAGGGGCTTTTTCTTGTGCGGGGTCTGTCCTGGTTTCGCCCACAGTCTGTGACATTTCATGCAACATAGATAAATAGTTCATCCTGATACAAATACGATCTCGAGGAAGAAAGAAAGACGAATGGGAAGTCGCTCAGGCAGTGGGGGGTGGCGCTGAGTGGGCCTGTGCCAACGATGGAATGCGTGCACATTCCCTGTCTCCCGTAGCCCGTCGGGGATGCACCGCCCTCCTTCCTGCTCTGCCCCCACCCTTTGCTGGACTCGGGCTCCAGTCTTCAGCCAGGAGACAGAAATGCCGTCTCTGAAAGTCTTCTTTCGAGGGAACCCAGCTCGGCCCAGGCTGACCCCGCCAGCCCGGGTCGCGCCCCCTTTGGAGCTAAGCCCACGAGCCCAGGTCCCTTCTGCTAGTTCTCCCTGCCGCCCGCGCCTGCAGACCTTCTCCGGCAGGTTTGCCGAGCCTCGCACTCCTGCTTGTGCAAACCGAGCAGGCAGACCCTGTTGCTGTGAGCCTTCCCACGTCCCATTCACTTGCAAATTGCCTGGTGCTGGGGGTGACTGTGTAACTTTCCAGTTAAACCAGGACACTTTAGAGAGGGAAGGGGTGGGTTCAGTAATTACAGGGGAGCATGGCGTGAGCTGGTTCTATTCTGGGCAAAGCAGTTCGCAGTGACCCAACTGATGACCCTCCCGCAGGGTGACCTGTGGGACAGTCCCTTGCGTGTCCAGCCTGGGGGAGGATGGCCTGGGGGGGCCATTCACTGCTGAGAACTCGGTCACCAGCTGAGCGTCCAGCAGGAACTGCCCGGGCTGGACCCCCCACAGGGGGCTTCTCCTTAGTCCGGTCTCTCCACCTGAGAATGACCCCAAGGGCCCTGGCATCTGAGAAATTCAGTCCTTCAAGCAGAGCAGATTGATGCATTTACAAAAAAAAACCCAAAAAACTACTTTCTAAGGAACGCTACATTTCTTTTTTTTACAATTATTTCTATTGATTTTTAGGGAGAGGAAAGGACAGAGAGAGAAACATCGATGTTAAAGGTTGATCAGCTGCCCCCATGCTCGCTGCCTACTGGGGACTGAGTCTGAAACCCCACATGTGCCCTGACCAGGAATCGAACCAGCAAGCTTTCCGTGCCTGGGACGATGCCCAACCAACTGAGCCACACTGACCGGGGCAGATTGATGCATTTTATTTTATTATATATATTTTTATTGATTTCAGAGAGGAAGGGAGAGAGAGAGAAACATCAATGATGAGAGAGAATCACTGATTGGCTGCCTCCTGCACACCCCTCACTGGGGACTGAGCCCGCAACCCGGGCATGTGCCCTGACCAGGAATTGAACGGTGACCTCCTGGTTCATTGGTTGATGCTCAACCACTGAGCCACGCCGGCCAGGGCAGATGGATGCATTTTTAAGAATAAAGGTTCTCTAGTTCAACTTGGAGTTCACCAGCCAGGACGTGCACAGCTCCGGGCCCCCCGCTGCCAGTGCAGACAGAGGGTCATTTCGGGGTCCGTGGAGCTGAGCAACCTGCCTGGTGCTGCCCGTGGAGAGCCTGTGCCCACAGGTGGGCTGGGGCCTCTTTCTGGCTTCACCCTTTCCTCACTGGGGTCAGAGATCCTTGGAGGTGGCAGTCCAGGTGGAGGACACAGAGTCCGCCAGCGACTGACCCCCCGAGAGCAAGGCCTCTCACTTAGGGGCGGCCTGGGAAGCCCACTGCCAGCAGGAGGGGAGCCGCATCGTGTAACACAGCTGCCTCCTCCCAGCCTGCGCTCAGCCACGTCCCCGCCGGCTCCTGCCTGGCCGCCTCCCTATGCGCCAATCAGAGGGAGGCCGGCCCAGGACCCAGCTTCCTGAGGCCCCTGCAGCTGGGAGGCTGAAGCTAGGGACTCCGTGCAGCGGACACGTGCTCTCCCCAGCTTTCATGCTCCCCAGGCCCGTCCACCGTCCCTTTATTGGTTAGAGTTAAACGCTGTCAGGTGCCGGGAGTCAAGGGCGAGTCAAGGGCAAGACAAGGGTGAGAACGGCCCTGATGCTTGATGCCCCCGTGCAGCCCACAGGTGATTCAAGTGGTCTTACTAGTGGTCAGGCCCGGGGAGGCCAATGGATCCGGGTGTGACTGCCATTGGAAGGGGGTTTGTTACAGTTCCCAAGGGGAGGGGGCCATGCCGGCCACGTGGGGAAGTACCAGGCCCCTCAGGAGGCAGAGGGAGCGGGCGGAAGGTGTGGGCAAGAGGCTTTGTTGTGGTTTCCACAGGAAGGCACACCGCGAGCAGGCTTAGGATTGGTCGGCTTGAATAGTTTCTGTGGGCTCTGGCACAGGGGCTGTCCCTAGTTGTCTGGCACCTGTTCCTGGGTCCATGGCCCCAGGTACCTGGCCCTGGTGACGAGGCCAGGCAGCCCAGGGTGCGAGGGCCTGAGAAGGGAGGCAGCTGGGAGCTGAGCCCTGCAGTGGCTGCTTTGCTTATGGAAGGTGTGCTCCAGCTGTGGACTGTCTCTAGGAATTGCTGGCCCCGGGAGGCATGGTCCCTCCATTGTCAGCGAGGCCCCAGGTGCCAAGGCATCAGGAAAATGAGACATGCCTGGTATGACAGTCCGCAGGGTCTCAAACTCTCCCCTGCAGGTCACGGGTGCCTTTGATGGGGCATGTGTTTTCAATCTTTCAATGCAGATGCCTCAGGCAGAGCATGAGTGTAATCTCCAGTTAGCCACAGGCCCCACCATTCCCTATTGCCTCATACCAGGCCACTGGCATATTTATGTTATCTGCTAGCTCCGTCGTGTGCACCCTGAGCTCCTGTTCCCATATATGAGAGCATGGCCTGGGTGACATTGTCCTCTGTGGCTTTGCAGTCATTAATTACACCTCCCAGTCCACTCTGCTGACCTGCCTGGCTTTCTTTCTTTTTAATGTATTTGTATTGATCTCAGAGAGGAAGGGAGAGGGAGAGAGAGATGGAAACATCAATGATGAGAGAGAATCATTGATTGGCTGCCTCCTGCAGGCCCCCCACTGGGAATCGAGCCCACAACCTAGGCATGTGTCCTTGACCAGGATTGAACCTGGGACCCTTCAGTCCGCAGGCCGATGCTCTCTCCACTGAGCCAAACCAGCCAGGGCACCTGCCAGGCTTTCTGAGTGCAAGTTGTGGCCTGCGTCCTCCCCATGGCCCTGCACCATCCCACCCCCCCAATGGCAGGAGGCGTGGTAGGGATCACCTCACCCACACAGAGCACCTTCCGAGTGCTTCGTTCCCATCACCTCACCCACACACAAAACCTCCGAAAGTATGAGGACAGTGATTTCTCCCACTTCAGAGACCGGAAGACCAACACCAGTGACGTGACTCACACACACACATGCTGGTGAGAGGCAGAGTCTGAGGCTAGATCCAAACTTCCTGTCCCCCCCTCCCTCTTCTGCCCCTCCCTTGTCTGGACAGGGCCCCCCGGGAAGCCCGGGGCTAGGGTGAATAGGGAGTGGTCTTCTGGCAAAGGTACTCATTGGCTCACAAAACAGATATTTAATGAGCACCTACTACATCCCAGGCCAAATACTGAATACAGGACTGTGGGCCATGAAAGGAGGCAGAAATCTTGCCTCCCGGGAGCAGCTGGCTGGTCAGGAGGTGAGAGCCAGTCTTTACCAGAACTCTGCTCCCAGAAAGAGCGTGCGTGGCCCCCGGGAGGGGGCTGCTGGGACAGGGCTGGCCGGCTGGGATCACCTCTTAGGCCTTTTGTCTCTCCCCCGAGTATCAGGATGTTAAGCTTCATGGTGACCCTGGTGGGGAAGTGATTTCTTTAAAAACAACAACACAAGAACGAGTGCTCTGTTCTTGTGGGGATAGCCTTTCACTCCGGTCTTCGTAAACTCCGGAGGATGGAGGCTTTAGTGAAGTAGTTTCCCCCGATGGCTTGTGAACCAGGACATAGGTCCCTCCTGTGTGATAGAGCTGAGAGCCGACGAATCGGGATCCCACCCCGGTCCCGCTCTGACGGTGGGAGCACACTTTGTTTACAGGCTTTGCAAACTGCAAGGCAAGCGCCGTCCCGACAGGCACCCTGTCCTGTTTACTCGCATCAGCTGTGGCTGTTCTAGAACTTGCATTTACTTAAGTGCTAAGTGGTCTGGTGGAACCATTAGCTGCCAGGGTTCTTACGTCTGCATTTCTTCCCAAGGTTAGTTGCAGACAATGCCGTGAGCTCTCTATAGCAGCGGTTCTCAACCTGTGGGTCGCGGCCCCTTCGGCGGTCGAACGACCCTTTCACAGGGGTCGCCTAAGACCATCCTGCATATCAGACATTTACATGACGATTCATCACAGTAGCAACATGACAGTGATGAAGTAGCAATGAAAATAATTTTATGGTTGGGCCACAACATGAGGAACTGTATTTAAAGGGCCAGAAGGTTGAGAACCACTGCTGTATAGGGCTGGTGCCTGGGCAGGAGGGGGAGGGAGCTTCATGCACAGCTGGGGGCAGGGGTAGCCAACCTTGGGCAGAGCAGGTGGGCTCTCCTTGGATTCCCACAGGCACTGCAAGCTTTGCAAGTCCGAGTGGCTCACACAGAGACCTGGGGGCCCCTCTTCTCCTCTGGGTGAGGGTCTGGTAGGCCGGGCCCTCTCTGAGCGCTTAGAACGCTGAGGGTGCTGCATGCACCTGGGAAGGATTCTTCTCCCATTTCCCACAAAGCCACGGGGCGGGGCGGGGCGGGGCGGGGCGTCTGGAGGTGGCCCATGAGTCTCTCCTTTCCTGCACCCTAAGTCTGATCCACGAGTAAGTCCTCTAGATTCT